CAAGCCTGTTTTCAAATGATACGCTTTAGGCTTTTACATGCTATACATGTAAAAGCCTAAAGCGTATCATTTGAAAACAGTCTTGGTTAAACATTATGTATCCTTAGCGACATATTATCGTTGTGTTTTTGGACTTTGTGTCTTTTCTTACCTGTGCTTAAAACTAGTTTACAAGGCAATAGAAACTGATCTTGAATTGCATTCATAAAGTTGCAAGTTTCAGCTGAGCCCTTTGGAGTTTAAACTGCTCATTTAGGTGGAACATTTAGAATAAAACGGTACTATTCCTTTTCTGTCATGCAAAAAAGAAAGGACTGTGGAAGATGTGGTGACTTCTTGAATAGTTGTACTGACACTGACTTAAGGCCTTTAACTAAAAGCATGTGTACTGTCAGTGCCCCTCACGCGTGATGTGGCCCAGCCCAGTTCAGAGTGCCAGCCATAGTGGCAAATACCAGTTCACATTGTGAAGGACGCAAGTGTTGCATCTGCTTGGAGAACTACAACACTTCCAGTGCCCATAAGCAGCAGCACAGGCCTACTGGCTAATCCCCTTGTGTTTTCTCTCCTGGTAAACAGCTGTTCGACCAATCAGAGTAGGCAGTTGGCCGTGTGCTGGCGATCTCTCCGTGTGGGGAGGGTAATTATTCTGATGGTGTATTTTGTTTTGCAGATGTTCTTATCCAGGGTGACTGACACACTTAGCTTATATTTGTATCCGCTTTGAAACAAATTAGGGCGTGGACGCTGTGTTGGTGCTCAGCCAGAGGAAAAACTGACCACACTCGCGTTGTAAAGACGTCTAACAAGCAGCTTCACCATTGAAGGCCTTGGCTTTGGTTCTCACAGATATTGATAAAGGTATTCCCTAGAGCAGAGATTTTGTTCTCCAAAAGGAAATTATTGCAGTATGCTCTTACTCAGCTGTGGCTCGCTTAAAAGGTCCTGCCTGCCTTTTGCCGGAAAGGGAGGCAGACAAAGTTTCCAGATGAGGTGGTAAGGGTGGCTCGGTTTGCCAGTGTAGTGTGCACTAGGTGAGTTATTAATGCATCCATTACTTCCGTGTCAGTTTTGCACACACAAGATCAGTTTATTCCCTTGTGAGTTGCTGTCACATTATTTGCATACAGAAGCCTGTGATGGCCTGAGAACACAGATACTTTTAGTGCAAAGGTGGAGTTGCGTGAGGGCTAAAAAAAGATTAAGAGAGAAAAGGAAAAGTGCTCCTAACGCATTTCAAAAGGTAAATAACAGGAGACCCGGCACCCACCTCCTGCAGACGCTGTACCAGGAAATAAGGCTCCCAACAAACCCAATTTGTCTTAGCCTAGCACTACAAACCCAATAGATTTCATGCATCATACAATACGCTTCATGTGGATGCTGCAGAATAACCTTTCACTCTGTGATACTGTCTTTCCTGAGTGTCTGGGTAAGTATCATAACAAAGCCCTCAGGAAACAGTAATGTGACAGAATACTTATTCATTTTTTAACAATGCTTTTCACTGTAATTACACTTTTGAGCAGGTGACCCCATTAGACAGAAGTGTAGGTAACGAGGCCAGTAGCAGCAGTTACAATGAGCACTTTAAACTGGGGCTGCTCTATTGTTTGCCGACAGCATCTGGCAGGCCCGATAGTGGCTCCCTGCTCTTGTTCTGGGCGGGCTAATGGCCACAATATGGCTAGCTGGACTGAATTATCAACGTCTTAAGATGCTACTGCTCAGTGTTGCACCGAGTTGTGCTTTGGATGTGACCGTCTGTCAGGAGGGATTATAAACCGGAGTTGAAATGAAGGACATCTCAGTCGTTGCAGTTTTACACATTATAGTACTGGTAAAGGTGCCTATAGCTTGTGTGCCAGACAGTGCCATGCTTGTGGTTTAACTTTGAGCTATGAATGTTTTGTCCTAAACACGTTAGCCCTAATCAGCGGCGTCACCAGGTGTTTGTGGACATTCTCAGCCTACTCCTGCTGTTATTGGCTTTAAATGGTTACTTTTGTATTTTTTAACCTCGACCTGCTTTCCCCAAGGTTTAAGTGACTTATAGGGAAAACAATTTAAAAAATGTGTCCAGTTTCCATGTCCATGAAGGAGAACGCTACACTGCCCACTGGCTGCTATGTAATCCTGTCAGGATTGCATGTTTTTGTCACTGAAAGGCTACGATTGTTAGAAAAGTTTCTGACAACATTTTTTTTTTAAACCTACGGGGAAATAAAATCTATTATCTTCACCTTTTGCTTGATCTAACCAGTTTGTTATTGTGTCCAATGAAGTATTGCTCTAAGGGAAGAGAAGCTAAATATTGCCTCCATTAGTTCTCAAGACGCGAAAGAACTTAGTCTGCTACTTAGAAAATAGTGTCCAGGTTTAAAAACACCAAAGATACCATTTTAATATTGAATTAATTACTAGTCTACTGCTTCTAAGTCATGTCATTTGTGGAACCTAGGGTATCAAATGCAAATGGTGCTGTCCTCTTAACCCCACCCACCATGCTGCAGACGAGATGAGTCAACCAGGACTTCAAACGTCTAAAGACAGCGTGCCATCTCATTGGAACCTCAGATCTGCTTGTAGCATCAGTTTTTATTACCCTGCGGTTGCCTTCTTGAATCCAGCTATCGATTGCAATCTCCCTTGAGTTGTGCTTTGAACTGTTGACTAGCCCACAGGATATCACAACCTGTGTGGTTGTTTGAAGTATGCTGGCTTTTAAGCTCAGAGTTTTCTTCATTCAAAATGCCTTGGGGAGTTTGGAGAGGATTTCAAATGGGACAGAAGAAGTTGTATGAGGACAGATAATTTTCAAAGGTCAACTAGCAGAGCGCGATTTAGGTTGAGTTCACCAGATTGTGACAGCGTCCTCATGGGAAGAGTGACCAGCACTCAGTTTGGATCTGGCAGGAGATCTTTGTTTCATGTCATCTCTCCTGTTGACCCGTGTTCACCTTTCTTTTGTTTCTATTAGAAAACATGTCAGACAAAGATACTTATCAGGGGAACGAGAGCTGGGCAAAATAAACATATATTGTATACTGTCAGACCGACAGCAGTGTTTCCCACAGATCTATCCTATTTTTGTTTTATTTTGTATTTACTTGAAACCGTTATGTTCATTTTTCAGTTCTTAAAATGAGAAAATTATCCATGCTTTTAATTTGTTAATTATTTAATTCCCAAAGGCAATATGGCTGTATAGACTATTTATTCATTGCATTAGGGGTAAACATGCTGTGCTTTGACTTATTCTCATGTTTAATTACCAATATTGTGATAGAAAGGTTTTGCCATATTCCCCAGCCTCCTGTCAAGGTGACATGTTTTCACAGTATACTTAAATTAGGGTCAGTGGGGGCTGCATGCATATGCCTTTTCTTATTTCTAATGCCATTAAACACACCAAACACTTGCTGTTGTCCAAAATATTTCTGACCAGATCAGCCGCTTGGTGTCAACAAAATGAATCGATGTTGTGATGTCAGTTGGTTAAAGAAAGTGGTGTATGCACATCTGTTTAGAAAACCTGTTACATGTTAGTCCCGCGAGGCTTCACAGACTGAGTTGTTGTTTTGGTACTCACTCTTCTTCGTCTCTTCGTTCCAGAGCAAACCGTACATGTTCGACAGAGTGTTTCAGTCGAATACGACACAGGAACAAGTGTACAACGCCTGCGCCCAGAAGATTGTAAAAGGTAAGGTCTCTCTTTTGCTTTTATTAGAAGGGTTATTATCGAGAGGCATGTACACAGCTAATAATAGCAATCAGGCCAGGCTTCATTTTCTTTTATCTTGACATGAACACAAATCTGTTTGGTGTCTTGTAGATGTTTTGGAGGGATACAATGGAACGATTTTTGCATACGGGCAGACATCATCTGGAAAAACACACACCATGGAGGTAACAAGGACTTCTGATAACCTTTGAATGTTTGAATGCATCTTGTGATATAATGGAAAGCTTCACTTCTCATCATTACATGACATGCTCTCTGTCTGCAGGGGAACCTCCATGACACAGATGGAATGGGCATCATCCCCCGGATAGTTCAAGATATCTTCAACTACATCTATTCCATGGATGAAAACTTGGAATTTCATATTAAAGTAAGTAGTTAGACGGATTAAAAGGGACATTTGTAACCCACTTTAGATAATCAGCTATTTGGTTCTGACTAACATGATTAGTAACAACAAGCTACATACTTCCTGTTTTGCAGTTTGCTATTACGAAGCATTTTTCTTTATGAGTGACTTGTTACATGTTACTTGGTGTTGCTGTATCATAGTGTCTGACTCATTATCAAAAGACATTGACACATTTATTTCTATGCCTTTTGGGTTTTCCCTTATTCTTATTAATTAAGAAGTAATGGCATCTTTGTCTGAACAACAACTGTTTATTTCCATGCTGTTGTTGTTTCATTATCTTCAGTTAAAGGTGGGGTAGGTAATTCACTTCAGAAACACTTGTTATATTCCATGGAATGCTCTTAACATCCCGATAGCAATGAATACATTAAATGCTTTGACAATAAATACATAAAAACATTTCATCTGTTGAAGCCGTAGCGCTGTAAAAAGCACGACCAATCATCTGAGCCGGCCCGGCTAAAATAACTGGATGGCCTACCTGCCTGTCAGCCTTCCATCTGTGCACAAACTTATCTCGTGCCCTCATTGGTCAAGTTCGTGTGTGTTGGAGGAGGGGCTCTGTCAGGAAGTCTGAAGGAAGGGGCAGATTTTTTTCGGCTGCGTACTTTCAAATTCTAGCGTACTGGTTTCTCCATTCTTACCTACCCTACCGTTAACATCACAACCCCCTTGTTTTTATTCTGTAGCTGGATCTCCAAATAATGAGGCTCTTTCTCTGTCAACAGGTTTCATATTTTGAAATTTACCTGGACAAGATCCGGGACCTGTTGGACGGTAAGTGACTATAATAAACATTATACAGTATATACATGGGCAGTGGTACACCCTCAGAATGAATGTGTTGCTGAATCAATAAACCACATTTCTCCTCATCTACAGTTTCAAAGACCAATTTGTCAGTCCATGAAGACAAAAACAAAGTACCGTATGTCAAGGTGAGATCTAACTCATGTCAAATATCCAGAAAAACCTGTTTGTTTGGCCGATCATCTCACCTCATACTCTGCTTTCCTTTAAAGGGCTGCACTGAGAGATTTGTCTGCAGCCCAGAGGAAGTCATGGAAACAATTGATGAAGGCAAATCGAACAGACATGTAGCAGTCACAAGTAAGACCCCATCATATACTCTGAATAGTCTGCAGGTTTTTTTTGCAATTTTGATGTTGATGCATGGTAATCATTTGTCCCGTAGACATGAACGAGCACAGCTCCAGGAGTCACAGCATCTTCCAGATAAACGTCAAACAGGAAAACACTCAGACAGAGCACAAGCTCAGCGGCAAACTCTACCTGGTGGATCTGGCTGGGAGTGAAAAGGTAATGCTACAAAAAGTCTTTAGTTCCGTTAAATATGATATAAAAGCAGGAAAAATCCATATTTTAGAAGCTGAAAAAAGCATTTTCTGGCATTTTTGCCCCAAAATAACTTAACGAATAATAGATTATAAAAAATGTGGCAATTATTTCTCTATCAAGTGACTGATCATTTTGTCTCTGGACACAAAACAGTGTAAAAGTAAAACTCTTGCCATTGTGGATCAGCCTACACCACTGACTCTTTGGTAATCTGCATTTTTGTTTGACCCCATTTTCCGCCTGAACAAAAAACAGCACAGGACCTTGTTGACGTTATTGTTTGTGTGATGTTCAGGTCAGTAAAACCGGAGCCGAGGGAGCTCTGCTGGACGAAGCTAAGAACATCAACAAGTCTCTGTCGTCTCTGGGAAACGTCATCTCTGCCCTCGCTGAAGGAACGGTCAGTGACACTGCTTTAACTCTCCAGGGTGTCCGCGGGGTCTTAACAAGTATTAAAAGTTGATAAATCAATTTAGCGAAAATTAAAAGTATTAAAGATCATTTCTGAGCAAACATGTATTTGTTCTATCCTGTAGCTTATTCAGAAGCACAACAAAGCCTCAGGTGATGATTTGTTAACGTAGCATACAGAAGGGAAGCCTTTTACCATCCCTGAGCTAGGTGTCTTTCATTCGTCTCACTGTGAAAGTGCTATTCTCCTCCATCTACAGGTCCTTTGTGTCTCAGAAGTCACTTTAGCAGATAGAGGCTTTCCTTCGAGCAATGTTTTTGTTTCGAGGCTTCATAGTGATTTCACGCTCTTCACTTTAATCAACAATGTGTTTGTTCTCGGGGCCCGCCCCCCCGCTCTGTAAACAACCTGAGGGCGGCAGCCTCAGATATATTTATGATGTGAAACAAATGAGCTACTGTGCACAGAGATGTCTCACTCCTGACTGAACATCCTGTTTCTATCACTTCTCCTATAATATTTCAAGTTAGCATTTAACTACATATTACAGATCACTCTGGGGTTTGTCATATTGGGTTTGATTATCAAACATCCATATTCAAAGAGGGCCAGTGAGACGAGACACCCTGAAAGTGGATCTCGGTCTAACGTCACCTCGATGATCCAATATCATCTTATATATAATTAGACCCTCCAGAAAAACGCGGGCAAAAATCCTTGATTATGTGATTAAACATGCGGGGTTTTTATGTGATTTTATGCGGTGAGGGCGGGAAGTTGCAAAATATGCTAAATATGCGGGGAAAAAGAATAACAATTTTTTAAAATATTGGGCTGTCTTATTTATTCTCTCTCACACACAACCTGCCACTAACGTTAAACCCCTTTACTATTCAATTAAACACATTCAATGTTTATTTATTGTAAAGCAATTGGGCTATTTTAATCTCACACACACACACACACACACACACACTCACACTTCTCCGCCTCAATCTGTTTTCATTTACTCGTTCGTTATCTGACCAGCTTCAATCTTGTAGGCTACTCACTTCGTTTCTTGTAGCCCTCGAAAGGGTTTTGGAGGTTGATGCCTCGGTGAACGTGAGTTGTTTGGCTTTCTTGTCCGCAGCAGCAGAAAGCATTTTCGAATGTTTGAATGAATCAAAGTGGGTCGCCACCGTCGATTTTCTCTTATGCTCCAACACACAGTTGCACGGGGAGCAGAATAGTTTCCCCCCACTTTTTGCCCGGTCTTTAGTAGAAATGTTCGTCGGTAAATGAGATGGATTAGATTTTTTTATCT